GATCTCAGGCGGACGAGCAGATTGAAGAGCTTGGTGTTATACTATTGAGACCATCTTCTCGTCGATCGTCGTTCGATCGATCGATCCCAGTTGCATCGGATCGGGTCAGAACGCCAAACTCGTCCGCGCAGGGATCGCCATTTGCGCTGATTTCTAGCACTTGGTTCGTGTGGAATGAAAGCACGAAAGAGAGATTGGACTAAACCGGGATGGTATGAGTTTGATCGAGGCCAACGTAGCAATCTGAGACGAGGAACAGCGCTATCTCCTGGAATCACGAAAACAAACAAGAGAATCAATCCAGGAAAAATTTCATCATGATCCTCTTTACCTGTGTTCCCGCAGGAACTCTTGGCACTGCAACGCTTGTGCTGAGACGCTTGTCTTTGATGCTCACGCGCCTCATGGCGAAGAGCTCCCAAGTACTTGTGCTTCCTACAACGATCCACCATCCCTCTTCCTTGGACTAAAAACCAAGCACAAGAGGAAAATGTAAAAAGTGTTACTCAATCGAAACTGCGAGACTCACTTTCGAGTATCGAGGCAGGAAAGCTCGAGTGCTGCTTCTCCTTGTGTTGTTGGACTTGACTTCGATGTCTATTGCGAACGACGTGAACTTGTCCCCCTCACTCAGCCTTTGATCTCGCATCCTCCACGTAAGATCGATTCGTGGAAGAAAATTCCATGCCTGGCAATGCAACAAGGACCAAAGTCACAAACAAGAACCCACCCGTCAAGCGTGGAGATAATCACCTGTATGACTTCGTGAACTTGGGACTGAGACATAAAGCGCTCGAACAGCTTGCGCAAGCGTTGTGACGGCAAGGACAGGAACTCGTCCAACGTAGCGAATGGCAGCGAAGGCAAGAGCTCCGTGGTTGTGTTTGGCAGCATGAGCAAAGGCGAATGATCAGACCATGTTCCCTGTCAGAGACGCGAATTATAATAACATCGCAATGAAATCATCAGCTCTACCTGCATAATCATCTGCAAGAGTTGCATAGCCCGAATGGTCGTTCTCAGCCATCCTCCATTGGCCGCAGCATCCACCATCGCTTGAAGTATACGTATGCTTTGGTCCAGCACTGACTTCGTGTCTGTCACGTAGTCAGAAATTGGCAGCTCCAGTCGTGAGAAATGAGCCTGATAAAATGAAACTTCAGCGCTGGATTCACGAGCTAGTCGTTCTCTGTTTTACCTGAAACAGCAAGTTGGCCTTCACATGAGGGTCATCTAGCAGCTTATTGTCCACACGCATTCGTGCTTGCTGCGCAAGAATCGCATTCAGGTTTTCCTGGAAGGTTGTGCTGGTCAGTAAACGAAAACCCGAAGCGGCTGTACCTCGTTATGCCGGACAGGAAGCTCGTCATACTCCGCAGCAGATGAAAGCAGCTGTAATAGCTCCTGCTCACAAAGATCAATCAGCCACAGGTCTACCTTTTCAACGATCGTACCTCCAATGAACTCTCAGAGTGTACGTTTGAGCTGAAAAGTGCTACTGTTGTGTAGTGAAGATAGTATTTTGAAGCAATGAGTCCCGGCATCTGTATCTCTACGTTGTCTTCGCTCACTTTGATGCACCCAGCGTCATCTAGTGCTTCAAGTGTGCCATTTACAAGACTAAAAGAGAGCAAAGCAGTCAATGTTAAGAGAGCATCGGCAGAAAACATCACCTTGACAAGAAATGATTGACGGACTCAGCTGCTGTGTCTTCCAAACCGTAGTAGCTTGGATTCATAACCAGCCGCCGGTACAGATACGTCCATGTCAAATAGTAAAGAGCATCTTGCTTTGTTGCAATTGTTCCAGCAGCTATCTCTGCGTTCAAGTGATTATGAAGGTGGTGAACCAAGCTGCTTTCAACTGGAAAAGGTTCATATAAAAACTGCCACCGTTCAGAACGTTAAGATGGATCGGTCCAACGTCGTTGAGCTATCAAACCTTCTTGTAGAAGCTTTTCTTCGGTTCATGAACCAATATTACAGCCTTTCCGTGTTGATCGAACTGGGGCCGTCCTGCCCGGCCCATCATTTGCAATACATCCGTGATAGGATAATCAATGTAGCGTTTAGACTTTCCATCAAAATACTCGGTCCCCTACACAAAAAAGATTTCCCAATTCAAGACAACAATCAAGTAGCAAACGCATACCTTGATTACAACTAGATGTGCTGGGAGATTGATTCCCCAAGCTAAAGTGCTCGTGCAAACTAAAACCTGTTCAGAAAACAAAAGGTATATCGACCATCGTAAAAACGAAAAAGTGTTTACCTGAATTTTGTTGTTGTAAAAGAGCTCCTCAACTAGAGTTCTGTCACTGTCACAGAGACCAGCATGGTGCAACCCGATCCCAAACTGCAATGTGTGCTTTAGACTACTATCCACAACCTTGTACAGAATCATGCTGTTGTCCTCTTCATTCATTTGCAAAAACTGGCGTGGCTGTTCGTCTTGGGCTGCGAACTGGTACAATGAAATTACAAAATGCCATCGAACAAAAGCTAAATGGCATACCTGAATGAGATCGAAGGCAGTAAGTCGAGTTTGACGACGAGAAGAGACAAATATCAAAACCGGCTTCAAAGGCGAGTGTGTTCTGATAGCAGCGTAAGTTGGTTTGTTCATGCTATTCATTCGAGGGCAGTAAAACTTCCCAGGATATCCCTGTAGTAAGCAGCAAAGCGTTGCAGTAGCAGTACATGTTTTGTTTAATTTACCTGTATATGAACTTCTAGTGGTACTGGGCGAACGCTTGGCTTGAAATTATACAGTCCAACATTTTCAATGCCCAGCCAGTCTCCCAAATCCCTGAAACAAAATATTAAACGTGCGTCTTGCATGCCTAAGGCTCACTTTGCATTCGCAAGGGCCGTTGACAGGCCAACAAATCGAACATGACGAGCGGTTTGAGAAGAAATATAGCGCATCCGGGATACTATAACCTGCATACCAATTACGTTATTTCCTGACAACTTTACTATCAAAAGAGACTTCCACTACCTCAAGGATCGGACCTCTGTCTGCGCCTAGCAAATGTATTTCGTCAATGATCATCAGGCCGACCTTTGTAACGTAGCTTCTGTTGTGCCAACTACGACTAATACCGTCCCATTTTTCAGGAGTTGAAATGATGATATCTGCTTCAAGCAACGCAAGTAAATCCGGAGTAAAATCGCCCGTTAATTCCACCTACAACACAGTTGAATCGTCATAAAAACTACTGGAAAATTGACATACCAGCTTCTTTCCAAGCGTGGGTACCAGACTTTTCTTCCAGTCGTCAACTCTTTCCCGTACAAGAGCCTTTAAAGGAGCAATGTATATGACCTGAAGTGCACAGTTCTTAGCTACGACATCTCTAAAAACAGAAAGATGTTACCTTCATATCTGGTTGTGTGTTAAAAAGGCGAAGCATGGCAAGCTCTGAGGATATTGTTTTTCCACTCCCAGTTGGAGCGCCCAGCAGAACATTATGATCAGTTTGGTACAAAGTGTGAAAAGCCTGCAAACGACATTGAGTCACCGGTAACTCCTTAAATGGATGACAGTACCTGCGTTTGGATAGGATTGAAATGTGAAACTTGTATCGTTCTTCATATTTCTGGTTTTTCCAAGGCTTGAACA